CACAGACAGAAGCAAGTGGCTTAATTTAGCATTTACCATCCTTTGCCTTGAACACTGTAAAGAAAGAAATCCATCACATCTTTTTACGTTTCTTTATTCCCTTCTATTTTTTTCATTCATCTCTTTCTTCTTAGAAAGCAAACTTCTCCTAGGCTTTGGCTTACCATTCTTATTAAACTCGTTACTGTGTTCTGCTTACATTTTTCCCACCCTGGAAGTCACATAAGTGAATAACTCTTCTACCTGCTGCAGAGCTGTAACATGAACAGTGGCATCTGTATACTTAAACCTGTACTGAATGTAAAATTGTACCTTGTATGATAGCAACACGTGGCTCAGCCTTTGTTCTTCAGAAGGAATCCCAGCAGTGACCATGCAGCTGATAACCACATGTCTCACTGGAAGATCTTATGACGTGTACACAGAAACAGCAGATTTTTCTCCTTCCCCACAGAACAGTTTGTTTAAAGATCAAATATGAATCCATCTTATTGCACGAGGTGAGAGGGGTGAGGCAGCACTTCCTTGCAGGCGTGTCAGGGTGCTGCTTTTTTGCTTTTGTACTCTTCTATTGAAAGCATTAGGTCTACCTCTGTAGCTTAAGCAACCTGAAAAACATTCTATCATCACATAAGCAGGAGCTGTGGGATCTGCTGTGCATCCCTTTATCCAGATAGTCCGTTGCAAAGCCCTGCGGAGAAGAGATAAAACTACGAGTTCTCCATAAAAGAGCAATATTCCTGTAGGAATTAATTCACGCCATCACATCACAGGTGAAGCTTTTTCAAAGCCAAAGCCTGGCTGAGACCCAGCCCCTTAGTATTAGAAAGAAAAACGAAAAGCAATTAGATCAAAGTAGCAGATAAGTTTCACTACAGCTCTCTCGGATGGTTTACAGAGCAAACAAAAAACCATATCAGCATCTTTACAAGCTTAACTCTTCCAAATGCTACAACTGAACATTTTTTTTTTTCCTTTTTTTCCATTTAGCTGTACATCTACCTTGTTCAGTGAGAACAAAGGGAAACACAACACTGTTAGAGCACAAGGTGAAAAGAGATTTCTACCAGTGTCCTTTTATATACATGCAGATAAATCACACATGCCCCTATGGCCACCAGTAGTCCACCTGCAACCGGCAATGAAGTCTGAAAATCCAATTATGGCACGGTCTGGATGTGAATACAGACCTGTCAATATTACCCAGAAGGGTTCTGCAATTTAGAAAAACAAATTTGAAAACACACTTCTTACTTGGCAGTAAAACCAAGAGCTGTTTGTGTGCCCAAACATTTCAGTTCATCAGCAGAAAGCAGCTCCCAGCAGCCTCAGAAAGCTGTTATTCATTTATTTTTCATACTCAGAGTTTCTTGGTGAAATGAAAACTCAAGTGGCAAACAAAACATTTCTGTTTTAAGATAACTAAGAACACTTTCTCTTGGTTAGATAAAACATTCCACTTCAACACAAAAAAAAAAAACAAGAGAAAGAAAACAGCCACAGTAAATAAACAGACGGCTCAAATTGCTTAAGTATACATATTTATTTGTCATTTTACAGTGGCTTTAGTACTGTTTTACGGTAAGATTTTTGGAGAAAAAAAGCTTCAGAACAAGGCTTTAACTAGCACTTCAGAACTAGTTATTGGCAGCTTTCCTCACGGAATTCTAGTTTCCTTAGAAAAAGAATCCAAAAAACGAAACAAAACAAAACAACCAAGGAAGCATGACTGCTGTCCGTCCAACAAAAATACCTTCCATCATCCTGGAAACAAAGTCCAGCATCAGACAGAATAGTCACTGCACCGAAGGGAACATGTTCCTATTGCACGAGCGTCAAGAACGAGATACGACAATCAAAGCCTGTCATAGGCAGAAGAGGCCACGTGTTTATGGCATCAGACTCCAAAGCACATCTTTCTTCTGAAATTATACACCGTATCGTAACGAATATTAAGGCCAAAATATCAGAACACTGTGACAGGTGACAGGGCTTGATGCTGCTCCGTGACGTTTGGGAAAGGGGCTGCAAACAGGGCCCAAAGGGGACGGACAGAGCGTTTGAGGGCAGGTACAGCCTGAAGGCATTTCCAACAGAGTTCTCACAGAACAGAGAGCCTGGGGGAGGTTAAATCATGGGTAATGTCAGATTTCCTAACAAATCACTCGAGGAGCCTACCGTTCCCTTTCATAGCATGTGTTCTGGAGCAAAGCACAGAATACGTTCTCTGGAATTCATACAACAACAGTTCATTATTTCCATTTGTTCCATTTCTCTGAAAAATAGATGAAAAAAAAAATCATGACTTCTCTAAGTTATCTTAAGGACCCAAGAAGGTTTCGCTGCACTGGGTACCTGCACACAAGGATCTCTGATTTGCCCTGATGGAGGTTTCTGGATGAACAACACTCCTGGAACCACCTGTGGGACACAGTATGCCCCAGAACTTAAATAACACGATTGTAGTTATGTGTTGCTATCTTTTCTAATCATGTTGATTTAATTAGCGTAGAAAACACTTGAAACAATTGCTCCAAAGAAGCAGTAACTGCCATGGAATTTTAAACACTTTAGGAAAATTTGGAAACCCGATGAAGGTGAAAATGCACATCAGTCATTTTATAAAGTTCGGTTTGCCAACATTTAAGAAAAATATAAGTATCAAAAACAGACAAATACGTTGCTAACCATCTGTTACATTTTCTTTTAAAAAATTAGCACCAATTTAAGCATCTGAATTCATAGAAAAGCTAGTGACACACACGGCTCTTCAAAAAGTTATTCCCCATTAGCAGACACAATCATAGCTTGTGTTACAGGCATTAACCTGGCTTCATTACCACCAACAAACAGGACTACTGATTCAGGTAGTGGGCACAAAATGTGGCTCTTACCTTCTTGCCTTCTCCTCTGCTTTTGTTACCCTAGAAACTACGAAGTAAAGACGCAGCCTGGGGAATGCACACGTGAGCAAGCACGTCACAGAGCATCAGGCTGCTGGAGTGCTGCTCCGGGGACTCTCCTCCTATGGGATCCACAGAGCATCTATTACAGTAGAGTCCCAATGGAAGAAGATGTTGCTGCCTCACACTGTATACACATCTGGATTAGGATTAAGAGTCAAATGGTAATAGGAGATTTTTGCTTTAAGAAAAAATCCTAGTGCCCACAGCTAGCTGTGCTTTCTATAAAGCTAGAAATAAAGACTTTGCCATACTTTATACAACAGATGCCACGCTGTTGTTGAAGTCACCCTACACGTATTTATCTATGTAGGGAGATGGTTCTCAAGTGATCTCTTACTACATGTTAAATCTTAGCCCATAAAAAAAATCTCAAATATTACATCTCTGAGAACAGCTTCAAATTTAAAGGAAAACGCTGACCAAATTATCAGAATAGCAACCAAACGTGAATACCTCAAATATTTTTATGTCATTCCTTCTTGCGCCGTATACCGGTTTTGTTTAGAAGAACCCTAAAGTGCTTCAAACCCAACAATTAACAAAGCTGATTTCTGTTGTGCAAAACCGCAAGCACCTTTTCAAAAAATAAGCAGCAGCATCAAGGAGTATAAACTTAAATAGTTACGTGTATATTCTCTATTTTCTTTTGAATACTTGGACCAAAATAATTTGCCATATTTTCAGTAACAAACTGCAGAAGACTTTTATTTTCTTAATGGTATACTGGACTTGTTCTAAGTATATTCTTTGAAATATAGGACCCAGGTAAATTTCCATCCACAAAGCAAAGCTGTGGGATTAAAAACCAACAACTGAAATGCGAGCTACAAAAATAGTCATTTTATAAAACAAACAGAAACGTCGATCTCTTCACTTTCCTCCAACACTGATATGAGAAAGGACGGCTTACGTAAAACATCAGTTCAGCTCCAGACATTTTCAGCATGCGGTGGGCAAAATTAAAAGTGATTTGGTAAGCTGTGTAATAAGCTTTAAGACACCACTATTACTCATGTAATAGACAATCTAAGATACACGTAAGAGAATGAGCCAGAATGCTTTTTTTTCCTGTCATACTTTGAACATGTTAAAAAAAAAAAAAATTGAAGACGCAGTGGCAAAGCAAAGTTATTGGATTCACCTATAGGAACTTCAGTCCAAATTCTGCATCTGGGTGCACATATCCCCGGAGCAAAACCAGTTTTGAGCAGGAATTACACAGCACACATCCCAGGAAAGAATTTGGCTCCCAGCATACAGCATCACTAAGTTTAGCATCAAGCCCTGATAGAATCCAGGTGACATACGTAGAACACACAGACAAAGGCTGGTCAGCAGTTACCCCTGCACTCCAGTACTGCCATTTCAAGAGTCACATTTCAAATGAAACGCTCCACACAAAACCAAGCCCGTGTTCAGAACCAGCACTGTGCTCAGGAAAGATTTGTCTGCACATCAACAGCTCAATTCCAGCACACACTGACTGAGGGGACTGCACTGCTGCCCAAAGCAGCACTCCCTGCTGGAAGGCTCAGCGGCTCACTTTTATTCTGAACGTCCAAATCTTACTTCATTTGTCAAATGGTAATTTTAAGCCAAACAGAAACCAATCCAGCACTGCAATTTAGCAATTGAGGTACTTGCTTTAGGTCAGAAAAATAAAAAATGTGGTATTACGTTTTTTTTTTCCCCCTCCCACTTAATTTTGAATAAACATATATATACTCTGTTAGGACTTAAAGAGATAAAAGCCCTCTGGTCCTGAACAGGTTTTGAAACTTACCAACAAATTAGTTAATTATGAGTTTATGTTGAGTTTTGTTTTCATTATTTTGACGACACAAAGCCTTGCAGGAAAGAACACAAAGCCCCAAAAGCTGTTTGCAAACACTGGTTCTAGTTGGACTTGCTTGTTGTGTATGCTCTGTGCAGACAAAGCCCTCATTTTAACATTTGCTTCTTGTGTTTTTGGCATTTTCAATTCAAATAAACACAATTTGTCATACCATACCATTTCCTCAAAGCGTACTTTCAAAACGCCAGGGTTCTCCTTCCAAGGGTTTTTGGGGTTTTTTCTTTTTGAGGAAAAACGATATGAGCGCAGATAAACCTTTAAAACATACTCCATTTCTGCAATGCCAGTCAGCTACTCAGTGTTCATACATCTTTCAAGGTTTCTGGTAAAGAATCTGATTAATAGCCATAGATTTTCCTTTTTTTTTTTGTTTTTTTTTCCTCTTCAGGTGAGCAGTTAAGATTACAGATTGCATCTATGTTGACCATCACTTATTTTTAGTTGTACTTCATAAATTGCTTATGTTCACTGCAGTAGTGTTAACACTAAACAAAGCCTCCCATACTCATACAGAAAGGTAACATTTGTGTTCACAAAACTGAGCAGGTTTCTATTATATATATGCATATGTATACACACATTCTTAATCTTTAAATACATATAAATATTTATAAATGCCAAAGTGCAAAAAAATGGTCAATTGCATCACTTTACATACATGATTTTAGTATTAGGAATAAAAGTGATTATATTGCACACCAAACTCTCTATACTTTCAAACCCCTGTGAAGTTACATGTGCATTTTGCTTTCCACAGTGATGGGATCTCACAGCATCCATAACCATTACACAGATGTTGCACCAAACTTAACCTGCAGCCAGGAATACAACCAACGTAAAGCCTGCATGCAGTGCATATGCAGTCTCTATGTGCACACTGGAACAGCATGGGAACTTCAGCATGCATCTATTCTGCATGTGCTTTGCTGAATATAATCTGCTTATCTGCTTTCTCTGAGAACTGGATGTTTATTTGGGCTCTTAGCAGTTTGTTTTCAGTTATTCTGGAAATCCACAATCCTACTTTTCATCTCATGCATACTCCATAGGCAATGATGTTTTGGTAGAATTTAGAAACTTCAAAGTGTGCAACAGCGAGAAGCCATTAAGAACATGAGGTATGGAATAGCTTTTCTTACAGGAAGATTCACAAAGAAGCTCAATCTCAGGGCTTTTTTTGCTCAAAACATGTGAGATAACAGTATATACCAGGAGAAGGTCAGATATCAGTTCACATCATGCAGACAGGGCTGTTCTGTGTTCAAAACCAAAAAACAACATAAGAAAACCACTTGAATCACAGAGTAATTTGGGTTGGAAGAGACCTGGAGGCCATCTGGTATCTAAATGACACGAAAAATCTTTGCAGCATTAAACCTTCTGAAACAGTAAAGGTTAAAACGATGAATGTATTACAGTGCAACTTCAGTTGAAAATGATAAAAATAAATCTTGAATAATAAACTCCAGAAGATTACTGCCATAGTGAATCAAGAATATCAAAATGCACGGAGGTGACTTTACAGAGGGCTCTGGTGTAAAACAGGAAGAGACACAGTCAGTTACTAGGCAGGTAAATGGGACAGATTTGCTCTGCAGTTGTTAGAGCAGGAGATTAATAAACTGCTGGAGATCTTTGTCCCTCATGTTCATATAAACAAAAAAGCTTTTTCATCAAGTGTAACATGAAATGTATAAAATGCTGCATTCTACCACTCCTCAAAGACTTCAGACAGCCTTCTAAAAAAGGAAGGCAGAGACTACAGATGACCAGTATGAGATTGTTCACAGGATGCTGTTTTTGAAGAGAATGCTAAGCTTGTATTGTCAGGAAAGCCATCCCTTTATAAAAAACTACTGGCTTAACACCATTATGCCACTGGTCACTTCTGAAAACATTGCTAGGAACAATCAGTAAAGCATAGCTAACTTCTGAGATTCAACTATTAGCTTCTCTGTTATTTTGGGGTTTTTTTGCTTGTTTTTAGTCCTATTCCATAGTGGTTGCATCTTTTGATGGGCTGAAGAGGAAGGGAACAAAACCACAGCTAGTCTGAAATCACTAATAGTAATTTTGAATAGGTGTCTTTAATAATTTTAATTTACACATATAACAGTGATTAAAAAAATACAAAAGAACAGCAACCTGTACTGTATTGCTGTACAGTAGTAGCTATTTTATATATATATATTTTTTGTCAGTGACAAAAAATGCACTAAAAATACTCCATATATATCATCAATATCCAAATAAACTGGTTTTAAACCAAACAGCTAAAAACCCAAGCCCTCAATGTCCTACAACTCATATTTCTTTAGAAAAAAAAATCATAATTCCAGATGAACATTCTGAAGTTAACATAACAGCACTGCATTGCATTTTAGTTTCTGGGACAGCCAAACTCAGTATTTTTGCTACACCAAATTAAGCTGTTTATAACCATACAGGTACAATTTGTAACATGAAAGCAATGTTTGCATTAGAAAAAACTGCTGCTTTCAAATCCTAAGGTCAGAAAGAAGGGTCAGTTCTCTTCTACAAGAGTGTACTAAACATCTCCATAATGCAGCAGCTAGCTATGCCAGCACATTTGTAAGTTCTCTGTATATATTCAGGTCAGCAGTAGCTGGATCATCAGCTGAATACAGTGCCTTTAAGAAAGTGGTGTTTTACCTTGTCTTGCACATCTCTGTTACTGTCACAGTCATACAGTTTATCTCAAACACTCACACACACACAAAATCCTTTAGCAGAACTTCACACAACTGCTCTGAAGGGATGTGCACACATTCAGGTGTGCAGTACCTGGTAATTTAAGCCCTACTCTATCACAAACATTTTCTAAGAATGGTGCCTGTGTTATACAGTCCTGAAAACTGCATTGAGAAGTGTGTGTCGAAACAGAAATAATCTCCTCTCCTCTGACACTGTATTTAGAAAATGTACATATTCAATACATTATGATTTCCTCTCCCAGTAAAAATAGAGAGGATTTCTCAATTTGGAACTACAGCTAAGTTCTGTTCAGTAAATAATTAATTGACAAATGACTCAAAGCTACTGTATCTTTATTTTTTTAATTACTCACTAGATAGAATGGACCCATTTAAAAAAATGGAAAACATTTATGCAGCTCTTTTTCAGGCCACTTAGACTGCAAGTCTCTCCGATTCACCTGTTACTGAATGAAGAGCATCACATATGTAATTTCCTTTTCTGTTTCAGTTAAAGGATCAGTATCACGAGCTAAAAAAAATACAAAACAATTTAGCACTCTGCCCTCCTTTAAACAGGCACAGTCTCACAAATGTCACCCATCCTTCCTTAAAATTGAACTAAGCCACTGTATCTTCCATCCACGTTTAAATAACTAGAAAAGAGTCAGATATATTTGTTGATGAAATATGAAGGTATGGCTATACTCTTTGAACACTGTGTTTTTCTCTTCTACAAGAAGATAGAACCGTTGGGAAGCGAAGACAGAAAGGGCTCAAAAAAGTGCTATATGGAAAAGTAACTGCCCTTAAACACAGTACTGAGAGTGTTCAACATGCGAGTTAACACTTACACACAACACTCCAGTCGTTAAATAATGCACGCTGCCATAGTCACACATTAAAACAAACTTCATAGACACTGTACATTCAAAAAACCTACAAGTGAGCAATACTGTACTAAAATGTAAACAACCATTGATGTCACAAAGCCTGCCAGTTAGGACTGAAGATGCATGAACTCACTCAAGAGAAGTTATTGGCTAGAAGCCTATTATAACTGCTCACCTGAAATAGGCTGAAACAAAGAAAAGCCTGTAATAGTGTCTAAACTTTTTTTTTTTTTTTTTTTTTTTTGCTCCTTAGACATTGATTTGCTTTCATTCTACAACATTAAGCAGGCAGTTTCATAACAACTGAGTAAACATAAAAACAGGCATTACTTTAGCAGAACATGCAGAACATGGAGTTTTTCTACTTTGTTCCATTAACTTACAAGCAATTCAGGCCCAATGGAAGCAAGAGTTCTTTTCCAAAGGTAAGTCTGCAATCCCGGCTGATCATCGGCATCCTTCGAGGGGTCCTGTCAAGGCATCGAGGCTGCTGTCTGTATCTGAAGCCAATGTTTGCTCTGTTGACATGGATGAAATGTCATTGATAGATGATGACTGGGAAGGACTGGTGTTGCTATTCACTGCTGCATCTGTGCTAAGTAAACCAAACATAATAAAATCTGAGGCAAGACAATACCGCAAGCACAAATAACCACACTTCTAGGTTTGAGCACATCGTTTACCTCAGAGAAACTCTTCGAAAACAAACCATTAAACAGTAGAAATGCAAGCACTAAGTTTCCTAACACTTAAAACCTGCAGCACAACATTCCAATTACTGAACCAAGAGAACAGCAGCAAACATCAAGATTCAACAGCAGGCAAAAATACTTCATACTATTAGCTCTCTTAAAATAAAAAGCTCTAAAGATGTCTGAATGTGCTTGAAAGGTACACATTCATTCAAAGCCAAGAGAAAGCATTCAGCATAACATACATGTGCACAACAGCTGATGTAAAGTAGCATCAATTATTTCAGCTTACGAGGGAGCCTTCAGTGCGTTGGATTTCCAGGACTTACAACTTGCTTTCATACAACTCATTTCACAACAATGAAAAATTACTGCCCACAGATCAGAATCTTTGTCTGTAACAACAGAACTTTTGCCTACCTGTATTAAGTAGGATTTTTTTCATTCCTCTAGTCCAACAGATCACTCTATGCAGCACAACATTATAGAAGAACTACTGAAACGATGACTAACCTGAGGGCTGATCTTTTACCACACCATTCTTGCTTCTTTCTTCCCAATCCATTACCTCTTTGTATATTAATTCTTATAAGGTAGGAGGAATAGTAGAAAAGACAGAAAAAACACTGTTAAGATCACAAGGGATTTAAGTACTATTTACAAATGCATAAAGGTACAATTAAATAGCTACAGGTCAGTCTGTAAGTACCACTATATGGCTCAGAACTAGACTTCAGAACAGCACCTGAATTAAAATATCACAGACTTCTAAATGTAACAAAGATCCATTATTTTGCTTTGGTTCACTGTGATATGGTACATGCAAGATGGCTCACCCTCAACTCTTCTAGAGGAAAGGATTTACTACTGCAGAGCATACGTACACACACACATATTTATTCCAAACAGAATATTTTTCCATAATCAATTTATTTTCGTATTACCATAAGCAGTACTGCACATTTTGAACATGCTCCAGTCAGTTACACAATCCAGCACAAGCACAACAAGAACGCACAGCTCACAGTACAAGTTGTTACAATGAATGTCATTGCTCATGCTCCCTTCTTACCTTTCCATTCTTCAATTGCATGTTCTCTCTCTTCCAGCTGTGCATCATAAATTTGAGGTGGAGGCTACAAAGAAAAGTAAGTCTACATGTTACGTATTACACTGCAGGCAAAACTCAAAATGATTTTCTTAGCCAATTGTTACCTTCCTCTGGCAGTCTATTCCCTACATCTCTAATTTTACATTCATTTTACATCTACAGAATTTAGGTTCTACCACCCACTGATATGCTGTTTAAAAGCATCAGCTAAAAATGAACTTTTCCAAGGTTTGGCAGGGCCTCAGATGAAGCCCACTACCCAAAATACAGCAGATTATCACCCTGCAGGCAACACTTTCCACAAAGGGAGCTACCTTCCTTTCTACAACCACTTTCAAAACTGCATCAATTCCATTTCACCAACAGCTCTTCAGGTGGTACCACTTTGAACATTAACCTGAATGCTTACGTGCATCTCTCACTAAGCAAAAAACTCAACTCAAGGCATGCACTTGGATCCAAACTAAAGCTGTCCTTTTAAATTATCAAACTGGTACCTTAACATGTATTTTAAATGCAAACTTACAGCTTCTGCTTCAGCTGGATCATACCAGACAGTAATATAGGGATGACGTAAGGCCTCATCTACGGAAATTCTCTTGTCTGGATCTACTACAAGCATTTTTGATAATAAATCTCTAGCTTGACTGGCTAGAAAGTAAAAATGAAAAAGAACATACGTGTAAGGAGCTGTAGATTTTAAACATCTGACAAAGCATACACAAACAGATCTGCTAAGCTTCTATGCCTCCCAACAAGTTCCATTTGTTAGTGACATGCGAATATTTAACTTCTAATCCCATGGAGTTAAATAGGTCTCACTGAGCACCGTTTTTCAATCAGCAGTGTAGGAGTGGAGCTCCACATCTTGCTCAATACCCAGCAGCATTAGGCTGCACTGCCAGGACAGGCACAGAGATGGCAGCTTTCCTACGCCGCTGCAGATTTCCTTCAAAAGGAGGTCACAATCCTCTAATGTCAATGTTATTTTACTGTAATCCAAAACACAAACCCTGCAGCTGACATCAACCAATCTCCATTTTGAACAGTTGTGCTGCTGCGTAGGTCACAGTTTGTCATCAACTACTGCTCATAAACCACATTTTTAAGTGCACAGTAAATGTCTACTCGTCGCAGTGCCATCTGACTGATAGTTTTTTTGTCTCAACTACAAATGTAGCATAATAAAATAACTTGGTGTAGCCTATTTTGTATAAAACCTTATATCTGTTCATAGATTTTTTCAACTTTTTTGGTCATTTATCTAAAGCGCAGGTATAGCTGATATGAATTACATTCCCATATGAACCAGAAAAATACAAATAACTTTAATGAGTACTACTTTCTGAAATGTTTCAGCCACAAACATCATTCAACACGTTCGAATGAAGCGATCTAAACAGAACAGTGAAATATCTTTGTATTTCTCAACTAATACTGAAAAATCAGAATCTGTCATACATGGAAAAAACAACAGGTATGGAACTTAAGTCAACACCTATTGCAATACAGATATTTTATATTAGTTGTTGTTGGCTGTTTTTTTTTTTTTTAATTAAACGTATTACAAACATTTTAAATTAACACCTTCAGAAGAAGAAAAAAATCTGTCTTACTTTTTAACTTGTCACGGTCTGATTCTGATGGAAATATCCAGTCTGGAAAGAGCTCTTCAAATTTAATACCTGGATATTTTGGCCTGTTTTCTACATAATTCCTCACTGTAGGCTGTAGTTTCTTCATGAATTCTGCTGAAGGCGTTCCTAGTTGTTCAATTACTTTATTCCATTGATCAATATCTGCACCATATCTTTAGGAAAATCAGCTGCAGAATTTGAAGTCTGTGCTACACAAAAACATTGCTTACAGAAATCTGAAAAGCTGAAAACCTGAACTAATAATAAAACAAGAACTTCAATCTGACATCAACAACATTCCAGAACTGCCATGCAAAAGGCTACCCTGGCAAAAATCTAAAATGTCAGTTTTGTAAGATAGGGACAGACAAGAAATGCTGCACAACTCATTAGGCTTCAATATCTTCAGTGAATTTGTACCTACTGGCCAGTTTTAAAAACATGACTTATGAAGAGTCAAAACAAAGCTTCATTCTGTAATTATGCCCATAACATAACAACTACAGGGACAGAAAAGAAAGAAAAAGAAAGGCTGCTGGTATATCATCTGCCCTACACCTAACAGTACCATGTGGAAGATTTTTGATGGCAGGGAAAAATACATGAAAGAATAGATAAAACGTGGTATTTCTTCCACATCCTTCTACAGTATCAACAATCCTAATACAGTAAGTTTACTCAGATCAACACTTTGCATTTTTCCTGATGAAAGGGATGGGCAGCTCTAGCAATCTAACCACAAACCTTGCAAACGAATCTGAACTCAGAATCTTTTATTTCAAACTACTGATTTTTCTCATACCAATTTCTTAACAAGACACATTTACTGCACTTTGAATTATAATTAAAAAACACTATCATTTAAGAAGCACTTAGTTGTGTTAGCATGCCAAAAACACATCCAGAAATATAATTCCCACTAAAGCTTTAGACTTCTGATGCAAAGATTAAAAATGGTATCTGCTTATTTAACACATTCCGATGGAAAGACAATATAAAAATAAGAAGTAAGAAGTCAGTATTATTAACTCTCATGCTAAAACAGAGCACATACAAAGCAAGTTTTGACACACGCCAGGAAATTTTGTTGGAAAAGTAATTTGTGCAAGAACTCCACCAATCCAGATTCAAGAAAAGGTTGCTGATTTGAGCGGCAGCAGCGCAGAACACCAGCTAGCCAAATTCAAGGGCATTCTGTGGTGGTTTGGGGGTGAGGGACCTACTACACTTCAGTAATAAGAATGTGGGGAAAAAATTGAAACAACAATATTTCCCCCAACATAGGTTGGATATGAAATAAGTGATGCCCATTACCAGAACCCCTATCAGAAGAAAATCTTAATGCTGATGCAAAGCATGCAGTGTCCCTCTGAATAACCTTGCAGTCTGCAGACAAAATTACTCTTTCTGTTCAACTACTGACCCTGAGGTCAAAAGTAACCCAGGACCTTGAGTCCATAGCAGAGTGTCTGTCTGCTTTGTGAGACTCTGCAAGAAAATGTTGAAAACAGAGTCCGTATTATAATCAATGAATAATAAAGCATGACTTTTCCCAAGAAATCATGACTATGCTCAGGCAGGCAGGCAGTTTCCTTCACCTCTTGGGTAGAAGAACACTGAAAACATTCTGTGGTGCGTCCACGTTTTCCATTACTTCATCTCCAGTATCTATGCTGAGTGTTTTTTCTACGTTTCTCATCTCTAGTGCAACAGCAATTGCCAGCCTCTCAGCTCGGGCTATGGCCAGGAGCAGCTGGAGCCCCTCCTCCACCCTGATGGTGTGGAGCACTTCAGCCCAAGCAGGGCTCTGCTGCAACTCTCCAAGAAATCCCTGCTGACCACACAGCAATGTACAAACCACTGGATCTGAGAGCAGTTCTCATGAAGACAGCCACAGGTACATCATTAGGCAACACAGTGAACTTGGCTCCCTGATCTAAGTACCAAAGCACTAGGACATATCAAAATTTAATTTAAAAAAGGAAAATCCTGAGGCCATGCACAGTAGCATCCATTCCCTTTAACCCATGGAGTCAAAACAGACTTGAGGCTGCAGCTAGAAGAAAATGACCATTGCAATTATTCCAGACCGATAACTGCAAAAGTCAACAACATGACTTATCTGCCAGTACCTCACATTAAAGGGAACTGAAAGACTCAGAAGGAAAAACCCTAAGCACAGCCATGTATTTTGAAAAGATAGAGGGGGAGACTCTTTGAAATATGGACTGGTGGAGCTTCAGTGACCTCCAGTGAACTACAAATGGTAACTTGCATATTCAATGAATACAGACAAAATTTCCTTCCTTTTTCATGAACAAACCAAGATAGCCCATGCTGACATGCAGGTGAAAGACACATAACATATATGAAGAATTGTGTTAGGTTGGTCTGAAGGCTTTAAAAGGTAAAACAATATAGAAAGGAAGAAAGGTAGAAAACAGACTTATTTAACAATCATTTATGCAACTAACTGATAAACGATCAACTGCTGAAGATTAGTGTCATGAAACTTTAAATTAAAAGTAGCCTCTACACAACATATATCTATGAAAAGATTTTAGGAACATATACTTGGTATTGTAAGTGGTGGAGCCAGCTTTTCCTTGCTGACAAGCAGAAATATTATACAACGTATTATTTCTATATCTTGGACCACAGCCCTTTGGTTTCATGTGCCTTACAGCCCTCAGGGGCAATTGTGGTTTAATTGTATCTTCTGCATTCTATGTACTTACTGATCAATTTGGGATATCTTGCCCTAGAACACTACTCCTATGCAAGACTATTTTTTATAAAGAATGAAATTGGTTTAAATCCAAGTTTTCCTCTAACTGGAACTTGATAATGAGTCCACTGTTTTAATTTCTTTGTCTAGGAAATATTTCTAAACGCATACAATTATTTGAAGAATATGCATTTGATTAAATGCTCATTTTTATTCACCTCACAAAGTGTAAATGCTTCTTTCTGATCCAGTAATACGTTATTGAGATCTCCCAGGTCTAAGGGCATGAGGGCATAAAAATTTCTATTTCTAATACAGAAAGGTTCCCACAATTTCTATCATGTAACAAAGTACAATTCTGTGAAGACAAACTTGTGCCAAAAATACTGGAGGAGAAAGTGAAAGAAATGATCATCTCAGAGAAAAAGTAAGTCCAAAATAAAGTTTTCATAAAATGATAATAAAAAATAAAAACATTGTTTTTCTATTAAATCATAATAGTAAGAAAAAGAGATTTCATGCAGTGTGCTTGCAATTAGCACTCACTGGACAGCAGCATCCTAATGAGTGAGAAAAAAAGTTGGGTTGAAATTCAAAAACCTCGTACATTAAAAAATAATAATAACAAAATAGGAAGCAAAACCCCCATGCACAGTGAATGCTGACTTTGTAGAGTTCTGCTTCTAACACTTATCTACTAAGAACAACAGTAAGAAAAAACAGATAACGCTTTCCTTTTTTTCTTTAACCTACCAGCATTCTATTAAAGATAGAAAAGCTGAAGCTCTTAACACAAATTCTACAGATTCAATCAGTACAAATTACAATAAATACAGTCTGCTAAGAAAATAAAATAGGAAGCTCAACAATTTGGTCAATGACACTAATTTCATAGTTAACAGTAGATCCACTAAAACATGATTGAAAACGGTGCTTTACGTTTTTATACGGATCAAAGTATGTTTCTGTTGGGAGTGGAATGAGGTTCAAGGATGACTAGGGAAGGATACGATCAGTGCCTTGGAATATCACACAACCTTTCACCAATTCTCCCATGATGCAACCAACTGACCAGATATCAACTGAAAGTAAAAATGAAATGATCAAATTATGAAGTATCATGAACAAAAGTGAGGAAAACAAACAAACAAACAAAATGAAGACATCTAGCATCTACAATACAACACAACGATGTGGAAACCAAACTGCTAACATGAATTTTGAATCATTTCAACGCCAACTAATTAAACTTTTGCTAAATTTTGTTTTCAGCATTTTGTAAAATATAATCAGCAATTACACTTCTGAAACGACCGTGAAGAAGGATACAATCTCTTCCTGGGAACAGGACTTTATGGAGGACCATTTCTGCCATAATGCACCCAACAGACCAGATATCCACTATCATATGTTAGGTGTAACAAGGACAAAAGATTAAAGAGGTTTTTTAAATATCACAATTATTTATTTGTAAATTCACACTGTTTATTTATAGCCGTGCAGATAAGTATTTTTGTCCCATCCAGAACTGCCTCCATAGATGTTCTCATCCACGTGAGCACTTGCAGCAGAACAAATGCCACGTGCACCAATGTAAGTTTTTCAGTGGCTCAGCAAGGTCCTGCAAGTCCCTTGTATCACACAGCTAAAGTTATAAACAGCAAGGTATCCCCAAGCCCCAGTGAAAAACCAAGAAGATATACTAGGTTAGAAGACCAGAGGAGGCAGAACGTTACTTCACAGCTAGAAAATATCAGCAAGTAAAACAGCAATGTGGGTCAAGGACAGTTTCCTTGCCAGCAGTTTTGTTGGCTGAATGTTCAATATATTAAAGCCTGTATATATACATAGTACAACACCCAGCCTCTTTAAGTGCTATTTATATAGATTTAGGAGAATAAGCTACGTGGTTTATTGGAGAATCTGAAATAGATTTTTAATGAAGTCATCACAGACACTGAGGGGACAGACTTAAAATATGCTTCACAGTAAAAATCACAGTGATAAAAAGGTTTATTATTTATGCACTGATCATTGGTTAGTTGGTTTTCTAAAACATCATGCAGCATAGGTATCTCATAGATTGGTAAGTTAAAGAAAATGGCAACAGGACAACAAAGGAAAAGGTAAGACAGCAGGGAAGCAGAAACAGTACATGCTAAATGGAGATATGGATACAGTAGAAAACTCCTATTCTCCACAAAATACTTATTGTACTTTTTATGTTTCAGTAATCTCCAGTAACATGATTAGCATTAAAAATAGACATAGCAGAGGGAAATTAGCTCTGTTCCAGCCTTTTAAAGCTATTATGTTTGGAGATACATGCTTTAGACAAACAATTTAAAGCATTACTCCAGTAACTTACCATTCTCTTTATATCCCATTCCAAGGATAACCTCTGGCGCTCTGTAATATCGTGTTACTACATATGGAGTCATCATAAAATTAGTACACGCTGTTCTTGCCAGTCCAAAATCAAGGATTTTGAGTGTACAATCTGATTTTACTACTATGTTGCTGGGTTTCAAATCCTAACAAGAAATTAGTGCAGTTAAGGAAGGCTCTCCATTCTGAGTATCATGCATGTGGTTGAAACCACGTCAGATACTTGCACTGCACCTCACAACAGCAGTTTTACATTCATTTACATTCACAAGAGTTTGAATTACAGATGTACATTTTGACTCTGTTCAAGTATTTGACGTGGTTTCAACCACATGAATTATGCTTTCAGGTGCAGAACTTCCTTTTCTTAAGAGAGACAGGGACATCCAAATAGGAAAGCAACAAACTTTTGCAGAATGGTATTGAATCACAGTTTGCTTGCATTTTCTAATCTTCCACACAGACTTTTCTCTTGAAATAACTGAATAATTATTTACAGTAGTTGGCAGTGAAATTTGTTATCTCATCTTGTTATAATGCTGGGCCATGTGAAGCATATCAGATTTCAATATTCATCTATTAATAACAGAGGTTGGTGTCACATACATTATCTCAAGCTGTGTTTAGTCACAGACTCTTTTAAGTCATCCCTAGACATATTCCTTTGAGCTATCCAAGTTCTGTCCCTTTCCTAGCCTGGCTTCTTTCCAAAATTTGACTTCTCATCTAATCCAGAGTTTCCACTCAAGGTCTTGACAGGTCTTTTTGCTTTGGTCCCAGACGAACCCAACACAATCCACTTTTGCTTCCCTATTTAAAGAAACTTCCTGCCTTTGTTTAGCTATTCACAGTCTGGTTCGTTTGGTTCCACCAATGGCCCTTTTCCATGTTCAACCAGCATCAGTTCTGTCCTGCTCTGTCAGCTCCAATGGGTTCAAATTTCTCAGCAAACATTTTGTCTCCCCTGTTGCTCCAAATCACAGCCAACAAGTCAGGCGGAGTTCAGCTGGAGTTCCAGCCCTCCCCCCCTCCCTTCAGTCTTACACATGTTAACTATACACAACGGTAGATTTTTTCAGCAAGGCAAAGAAGTTTGTTGCAATTTACACAGGTTCTTAATTCTGTTTATGGATTGAACGTGAAGAAAAAAAGCACGTTATACTAGAAGCTGACTGAATTTTTCAACTACCACGGAAAAGAGATTTAAAAGATGTGTCCAGGAAATAGGAGAAAAGAAGAACAGGAAAGGAACAAAAAAACCAAGCATGACTGTCAGGTAGACTGCTGGTCATGGAAAATATAAAGAGCAGCTGCAGGAAACCAGAATCAGAGTTGCATGAAGTACGCTCAGGACTTGAAAGTTCTGAACAACCATTTGGTAACATAACTTATAAAAGTCAAATGTTAAATTAGAAAGACTCATTCTTTAGTAATTTGGAAGGTATACAGTTTCTCATGTTTTATGAGTGGATCAGTTCAGCAACACTTAAATCCACAGAACCGATCTGTTTTAAGATCTGTTAACAATACGTTGGTCTTCACCTTCAAATCTGAAAATCTCCAGGTTTAATAATGGTGTGAACAAAATAACTACAAACATACAAAAGAGCAATTCCCTGCCTACCCCTCAGGTTCATAAGAACATCTGTGTTCATAAAGAATATCAGTAATGATCTAATACTACCTACTCTGTGGATGATACCAGCTGAGTGGAGATGTTTGATACCACATAGCATCTGGTAAAGGAGATAAGACATCCTTTCATGATCCAATTCCATATGAATAACTTGGCACAAGTTGGCATCCATCAGCTCCATAACCAAATATCTGAAGCATAAGAAAACATTCATAAACTGTAAGAATAAGCTTATCATTTTAAGAAAACATCATGCATTAAGACAATTTCAAAATTAGGGTCGCTCACTGGAACATATGAATACCCCAAAATTAAATCACCATGGATAAAAGATAAATAACTATTTCCCACTTCCATTTCATGTTTGAAGCGAAACAATTTTATCTCTCAATTTATTCCAGAAGCATCAAGAAAGACTAACTAAAACTTAAACTTAGACTTCAGTTACCCTCAACTTTCAGCATAAAGAGTGTAAGACACCAGAGCTATGCTGCTATGGCTTAGATGAATATTTGTCAGGAAAACTGTAACAAAAGTCTAGTACTTACACATCCTGAAATTCTTCTAGTGACTTCTGCGGTGTAAATACATTTAATAAACTAATTATCTATAAAGAAAAAAGAAGCTTCAGCTTTAATTCAAATAAAAATCCAATTATTACAGAAATTATTATTCAAAGCCAAAAACATACTGATACTAAGCACAACTTAATATTACTTGTTTCACTTAACTCACTCACGCTGAAGAACTGTTGTTCCAAATATAGTTGAAAACTGCAGCACACGTGCTGCAGGGACTAAAACAGGGCACAGACTTTTTTTCTCTCCAAGTGAAATGACACCCCTTTGTCATTCTTCAGTACCTAAAATGTATTCCTTTTCTCCCCACATAAACAATAATCTCTTATTTTACATCACCTACTGGGCAGGAAATTTTAACTAACGCTGCCCAACAAGAGCAGAGGCGCCCCATGCCACCCCGTCCAATTTACATTGTTACACACTATTTCTGAAAGAACTCCTACCATTACTATGTTGCCATCCTTAATTACAACCTTGCCTTTATTCTGCTACTTCTGGACTTCACCAAAAGCTATTTCAGCAGCCCTAGTAGCTTTGACACCCCAGTACAAAACTTTCACAATCAGCACTGTTCCCAGTTCGCGTTGGCAGCACAATGCAACACACTGTGATCCTATATTCTTGTACGTTCAAGTGTTGACATTATGGCTTAGTATCTCAGAAGGCTCAATGACTTTGTATGCATGTATGGCATGTCTGCATTTCAGTTGTGTACATTGGCAAGTTTTCAAGCTGCACCACTATACCTTCCAAATCTACCAGTCAAACATTATATTTAATAAAACTCTTGCATAAACTCAGGAAATATAACTAGAGAGAAACTAGAAGAGCCAAACCCACAACCAAACCCAGCGCCAAACAGGCCTTGCTGTAGTTGGATGTAAAAAGGCAAATGCACCACAGCAAAACCATCTCTGAAGCCTATACTGATGATAAACCCATAGTGACACTGCAACAAGAGCCTCCTGCTCTTGGCACTTCATCCTCCAAACAGCTCACCCAAGAGCTGAACCTCACACTGGGAATAACTGTAAAACCCATTGCAAATGTTTCTAGTTTCTCTCACCATTTTTTTCCACTAGTTTGGTTAAACATTTGCAAGAAAGCAAATCTTGAGCTTCTTAGATATGAGAGAACGAGAGAGGGAAACACAAAGGCAGACTTACATTTTTGTGATTGACACATTTTAAAAGAACAAGCTCTCTGTAAGCTCTTTTTGCGTGGGTTTGATTCTGAAAAGGACGACTCAACTTCTTTACAGCAACGTTTATTCCAAGGACCGTATCGAACGCAGCACTGCAAGTTGTCAAAGACAAACAGCTTAAGTGAAGTCTGCATGAGGGAGAGGCGAGGGAAGAGGGGAGATGGGAACACAGAAAGACATCAAGACTTGAGGAAATAAATATCAAATTAGCTGCTTACACTAACTTCCTTTCACATTTAGAAAAAACACATTAAAAGAGAATCTAAACAGTCCTTAAAAAAAAAAGGGAGGCTGAACAGAAGCCACCAACATTCTTATGAAAAGCCTCCTGTGCCCTTCCTTCCCTCAAATAAGACAAAATCTGCTGACCTGAGACTTTTGCTCAAAATTGAGAGATCTAAAAATCCATTAAGCATGTTTTTAAGTAATATTTCAGCTGCCTGTATTTCCAGCTTAGTCTGTACGCTTGGGAATTTTTCTGGACACTGCTGCTGACAGTCATTTAACATTTGCAGTACTAGCTTATCTTTCCTAAAGAACAGTCACAACATCTGATCAGTCCTGCAGGTGTCAGTGCTCTCATCTGTGCGGATAGCTTACAACTCCAAGCAATTTTAGTGCAGAAAATGAATTGCCTGGTTTCAGCAAAAACAAAAATCAATATGGAAGATTTACACGCTGCAAGAAGCCATGCAACAGCGTAAAAATGAAAATGAGCATTAATTTTGTAGCTTTTTTCAGTTGTTTTTTCCCTCTGTAGTTCAAGGTACAGGTGCAAACACTTTAAAAACTGTAAGAATCTAAGGCTAAATTACGTGTATATCCAGAACAAGACTAAGGTTGGAATATTCTTCATTAATAACACACAGGGGATTTGACAAAATACCTGCAAATGCATGCCAGGAATGACACAGGAGTTCCAATCCATTACCTCTCTGGCTTTAAATAAGGATTCCCACATGATCTCCATTCAATGCTACTTTCATATGGTAGGAAAGAATTCTCACTCATGTCTTTTCCAAAGCTGCCACTCTGTGAGCTCCTTCCCTGCCTCATCAGGACACATACAGCACATACAGATGTGAAGAACCACCCTATTACATCACTCTTAAAAGAAGTGCAGCTCATCTCCAGCAGCAATACTCAAACTGTATGAAGTTTATCAACATCAAATCACTGCCTTCCCTATTGGAAAAGGTACCACCAGCATGTGGCAGGGTTCACCCACAAGATGCTATTTACTGGGAGGCACAGTTTAGTGCCCACATTTCAATCACTGCACCATTTTCATTAAAGGCTTGCTACTTTTCATTTTGATTCAGTTCTGTGACACACACAAGCTGTTATTCAGTGATATGATCACTCTCAGATTTAAAGGTTTTTAATTTAACTATGCAAAACAAAACACAAAATGGGAGGAAGGGAACAAGTGAGAAACTGTTTTTCTCCCAGATATGAAAGCTCTGGTGTTTCCGATATTTCATCTAAATGACATTTTACATACAATTTTATTTATATTAATGGCTTTAACAGCACCCTGGTATTAGCAAACAACCAGTAACCAACAGGGTTACACACAATAAACAGCTGCTCAAGCCAGCCATGAGCAGCAAGATCACTGCAACAGTGGGACAGACATTTTAGGAAAGATACCCCTAGCAATCTGAGCAACCAGGTATGTGTCAAGGCTCCATCCCAGCACATACAAACAACTTCACCTCCACCTTTTTTTTTTTTTGCTTACCCACATGAGAGTAACTGACACTGCATCTCAATAATGAATCTGTATTTGGTATCTGTGAAGAACCCCCACGTCTGTCCTTCCACCCAAAAGCAACATCAATCCGATCACAGTCAGTTCTATTAAGGTTTTCAGAGCACTTTTAAAAGTTTGTATTTTAATATTAGGAGTAAAGACACCATGTGCACAATGGACTTATAAACAAAACATCTTGACCTAAATTACAGCAAGAAATCATGCTTCAGTTCTGTAGGCAAAGGACTTTTGCCTTGAACCGCAATGTGCTCCTGCTGTGGATTCCTGCTTTACCAGCTCTGCTTTGCTCACTCTTTCCCTACCGCCCAAACACGGCTTTGCAAACAGCAACAAACTCCTGACTGTTTCTTCAAGTGCAACCATAGGGAAAATTATGGACAAAGCAAAACTCACACGAGTTTGTAAGATCACAGTTTTGCTATCTTGAAGGACAGGATCAATTTGTTGGGACAGAAAAATCAGATTGACTAATTAAACATCGGAAATCCAGGGCAAGAAGTGAAAAACTGATATCAAGACTGAAACAAAAACTAGTTCAGGAAAATCATTTTGTGCAAGCAGATACTCATTTGTAAATAGATTCTAAGGTTTTGAGTATGCTAGAACTTAAGAAGTGTGAAAAGTCACATATAGAAGCACACTTTGTGTATAAAATACCCAAATAAACTCTACATAAACAACCAAGTTCCTTTTTCATTTTCTGGAGTTCTCATTTGTATTTCATTTATGCAACATGCAAATGACACCGAGATTTTCCTAGCCAAGGATGACAGGACAGCACTCTTCGTATGGTGAGATTTCCACACCACGTACCCCTACATTTTGCATATTTCCCCTGTGTATTTTAGGGACTTTTACAGAGAAATTTAGATTTTGCACCTTCTTCAATTTGGACATAGTTTTCAGATGTTTCACATGAAGAAAATTTATGCAATGTTTGATTCTGTTGTTCCAAAAATCAAGTTTTCTCAAAACAAGTCAATAAATCACTTCATCCCTTTCTCCACCCAAGATGCTGACCTTAGCACGACCCCAACTGTTTTGAAGCAATGCCTAGTTTTACTCATCTCATTTAGACATTAGGCACTACTTCCAATGAAAGGAGAAGCAATTACAACCAACCTAAATTCTTACATGCAATCTAGAACCAGCATATCACTAAGAATATTTATACCCAGAACACATGTGCACTACGCTAACACTTACCCAAACACTAATACCAAGATCTAGCACGCCCACCCATTCCCCATTCAACCCACTGAACAATGAAATACAGTGTTCTCTTCTCACTTATTTTTTCACCTGTTAGCACTCCTTTCCTAAGTATAAAACATTTTTTAAGGTCTTAAAAAAGCCAGAAAGTCACGGGCAGGTGCTGTAGAAGGGTTGCTCGCAATATGAGTCATCGCACTTATTCTGCAGAATTTATTGGCAGACAGAAACTGCAGATTGGATTTAAAGCACCAACAACCCATCACGCGTTTCTGACTGTGATATGACAGAGTTCCTCAGTACATCTGTTTGCTTCCTCATGTATGGAATTGTAAAACCGCATCGATTAGATCTGCTGCTGTGACCCAGTAAGTTTTGCCCAACAAAATAAGGGCTGGCAGTGAGCAGTGCAGAATAGACTGCTGCAGTCTAAAAAACATTTGAAAGTGTTTACCTTTAGCTGGCCCAGAGGTGTGGTGCCATACAAGAGACTAAGGTTCAGGATCAGACTAACGACTCTCACGTCCTGGGCCAGTGGAGGCTGGACACATAGCTGAGGTGACACAGCAAGGAAGACGGCCAGCCCAACCCCTCACAGCATCCCTTCCTGGTTAATCCATGGAGTGACAATGACACTGATTTGCCTCATCCTGCCAGTTAATGGCAAGGCACTGCATTGATGGCTCCTAGAAATGGACAGGAGTGACTGGGAATAAAAGGGGGGAAAGAAAGGGGGCCATGATGAAGAAACGAGTAAAACCCAGAATCTCTCACCATCTCATTGCCATACCTTACACTGTAATAGCATAACTACATGGGGAAGGTGACAACTAAAACAAAAATAAAGTGGTTAATGAGAAGGAAATCTGTTGACCCTCTTCATTTATGCTGTTATCCAAATATTATTTTCCCCTAAAATCAAAACAAAAGCTAGTTTCCCACATGAACTACTGCAGGCAGGTATTCTAGTAACTGTCCATCATAACCTGTAGCAAGAGACAAAGCATTCATTGATTTTGATAACATTTGATATCCTGGCGCCCCTATCAGAACACATTCATGTTTTGTTATGCATGTAGAGCTTTTTATGTTTAAATAAAATATTTATTACTCACCAAACAATGCCCTGTGCCCCTGATCCTATAGGCTTCAATTGCTGGTAACGTTTTAGTACAGTGAATGTTGAATCTGCAACTTGAACACTGTAAAACTGACTATCGGATTTACTGTCACTCATGGTGTAGTGTCATGTAGTTTTCTCTCTCAAGGACCTGGTACAGGCTTCAAGATCTTAAAGAAAAAGAGAAAAATGTTCAATCTGAGTAATTCAAGGCAGACAAGATGGAAAATAGATTATGCATATTTTAACACATATGAATTTTTCAATAGCATACTATTAAATAAGCATTAGTTTAGCTTCACTTACAACTACTGCTAATGAAAAACCTCTGCAGAGGAGACAACAAATAATCATACCTTACTGAGCTGTAAGCAAACATTTCCATTCCAATCCCCTAAAACAAAAAGCAGCTAAGTAAACAACTGTGAAAACAAACACCACCACCCTCAGGCAACCCTTGTAGGAGACTCCAGGACTCAGACCTTCCCTAACTTTGAGTTCCTGCTATCACCACCCACTCTCCCTCCTCCTGTCTTTAATACACACTGACATCCCATGCCACAGTTAGTGTTCTTCAAGTCCTGCAAGAATTAAGAGAGTTGGTACTAAAGTTTGAAAGAACTGGCCATGTTGTAACAGTAACTTTTATCCCAAATGCATTACAGTGCTTGAGGACCATTATGTTTGTATGTTAACATCCCCTTTAATGAAGGCAAAAGAAAACTGCAGGCAAAAAGCAATTCCATCCAGGTAGTTACACTGCAGTTCACCTCTCTCATCTGCCTTGCTCTTAAAGCTGGGACTAGACTTTCTGGAAGACGGAGTCCAGAGGGCAGCAAGGAGCTAGGAGGAAAAGTCATCTCATTAACTGGGTTACTTACAGGAAACAGATGAGAGGAGGAAGAGCACAGAAGTCCAAAGAAAGGAGGAATAAAATAATGTACGAACACAATGGATGTGGTGATTAGCAGTGAGCTATGAAGATTCTGATTAGACATTTTAGGAGATATGAAGAGGAGGGGAAACAAAGCCCATTTTGCAAAGGTAGAAGAGATGTAGTGCTAGAGAAGATTCCCTAAGGAAGTTACAGGCTCTCCCTCACTGGATGTTGGTGCTACGCTAAAAACTGTCCGTAACGAATTAGATGGAGGTAATTACACCTGAGATTGAGGTAGTGTACTACACCTCTTCAATTCCAAATCACTACAGTAGCGAGAGCACAGACCTTGCTTTCCCAGGCACCCATCTTCCCTCCATGCCTCATAACAATTACCTCAGTGATAACCAAAGAGATCTCTGAGAAACTCTCCACTTTTTAATTTCACATGCATCATGATAGTGCCATTACAACCCAGACTAAATTGCACAGCCAAGAGTTCCCCAAAACAGGAAATGAAAGCAATCACCTCCCTATAAGCAGCTGGCCCAACCACCCAGCTGTACTGCATCATTTGTAGCTAAAGAAAGAGCAGTTATTCTCTCCTTCTTCACCAGTCTACAGAACATTGGCGAGCCCATGCAAAGCAGAAGAGCCTTGACAGCAACCCAGAAGCACATCCTGGAAGGGCACAGAGCTATATAAGTAGTTTCTAGTAGCTTCAGGAATTAGAATATGGGCCTCTCCCTTCCAGCCAGCAGCAGGATGGATCAGTGTCTTCTCCATGGCCTGGGCACAGGAACACAGCAAACATGCAAGGAAAAAAGATGTAAAGCTGCAAATGCTAATGGAGACTAAAGTCAAAATGGTAACAGTTAGCTTTAAGGCATTCTGAAGAAATATCTAGAGTCCTCTTCAATTTCTAATATCTCAAAATCTAAGCAGCATTTTACAAAGTAAATACTCAATCTGGTCACCTCCAGCAGCTATTTAGACAGTAAGGAATGAACCCCCTCTTCCTTCCTGTGTTTTATCACTCCAGAGCTATGGACACTGATGCACCACGTTTTTTGATTAACAGCCCCTGAGCAGCCCTGGTGTTTTCTGTACATCTCCAAATGCTGGAAGACAGACACAGCTAGAAATACAAGACTAAGGAAAAGATCAAGATTCTCTCTCTGAAACGGGGCTTGGGGGGGGGGGGGGAGGGGAAGAAGGGTAGATGTGGATTACACTGAAAATCAAATGAAATATGTTAGTTACATGGGATCTATGCTGGTACTTCTTCAGAGGTTAATGAGGATCACTGCTGTTCAGTAAGTGATAAAGAAGCAGAGGAAAAGGAAGTGATCCTGAACCAAAGAAACCTCACTTTAAGAAATCTCGTCTGTACAAAGTCATTATTTGAAAACAGTTTAAAGACCAGGATAAGCTCTTTACACAAGACCCAAAGAGGGATTTGTGAATCACAACACACAAGCTCTATGCATTCAGACATCCTCTGGAGCTCACTGTGCTGGGCAACAGCCTACCCTGAGCCCTAGGCAGGAGTTAGGTTATTTCAGGTATACACACTAATGTAAAGCTAAATGCCATGAGACTGTAAGTATTGACATAATTTAAGGCTCTGAGACTATTTTGAGGCTAAGCCCGCTGAATAAGAAGGTTGCCCATCACTCAAGAGGGAAAAGTGCATCTGACAGGTAAGTTTCTTAAACCTGAGCTGCTACTCTGCTACCTGAGGCAATCTGATTCATCACTCCTCGCAGGTACACAACATATCCCACACATCTCCCATACAGGAATCTCTTGGAAGTTGGCATTACTTCCATTTCAGAAATACACATTTTCATTCATGGCTTCCTAGCTGCAGCAAACAGGAGCAATGCCAAATGTGGAAGTCATTCATTCATGGGACAGTCAGCAAACATACTTCTGCATATTGATAAGGGCACTCAATCAGTGCTTCAAGATAGTTTTCTATTTTTGAGCATGTATGAGACGCGGATAAATTGAGTGCAGGTTTCTGTGTTTCAAGAAGGTGCTTGTAGAACTGGAAAAATTAAAAAGCATAAAGCTGATTTTACTCTATGCAAAGAGATCACAAGTGCTTACAGAAGTGGTTTTCAGCCTCAGTTCATGCAAAGTAAAATAATTTGAAAAAAAAGGAAAACAGACACACCAAATCCACCTCCAATAAACCTTTTAGCTGTCATACAGAATCGCTGTAGGGAAGTACTTAGGGGTTGAAAGCAACTGCATTACAGTGTAAGTACATACTGCACCAGTCACCTCTGCAAAAGGCACCTATTAAAATGGCAACTTAGTATTAACCAGATCCATTCTCTGGATATTTTCCACGTCAAAAGCTTCTGAAGCAAACAGGTTGGAACAGCTGGGAACGTTCCCTGTGCTGTTTTGGATACAGAAATGTTATCACAGTGAACATCAAGAAACTAACTTCAGGCTAAACTGCACTGCAGACAGAAAGAACCCAGGGTGCACACACATACGAAACGACAGGGAAACCACACAGAACATTCACCTTCACAGACGTACTCTGCAAATTAACCAATACTTGCTTTATCCACTCAGCTCTCTGAGAAGCACCTCAGCCTTCAACCAGCCGAAGCTATCAGCGAGCAGATCTCACCGACTGCCACCAGCCCCGCCGTCATTTAGCTGCCAAACAAACGCTGAAAGCAAACACTGGGCGCACCTCGGCCGGGAGACGGAGGGGAAAAGTTCAATCGTGTATCTGCCGTGCAATGAGTCCGCCGTGAAATGACGGAGCAGCCGTCGAGCCGAGCGAGCGCGCTCACGGAATTCCTTCACTCGTGCGGTTTGCGTCGCGGGGCGGCACAGCGCGGCTCCCCGCCGGCACCGAGCGCGGCCAGGACGGCACGGGGCACCGAGGCCGGGCAGGGGCGGCGGTACGGCACGGGAAGGGCGAGGGGCACGGCAGGGCCGAGAAGAAGGAAAGGGCCCCCGACTCGGCCCCTCCGCCTCCTCCCCCTCTCCGGAGGGCCGGGCCCGGGGCAGCGACGCGCGGGGAAGCCCGGCCCCGGCCGGCTGCGCCTCGGCGGGCGGGGCCCGCGGGAAGAGCCGGGGACTCCTCTCGGCACAGGGCCGGGGGGCTCGGCTCGGCTCACTCCGGCTCCAGCCCCGCCGTACGCAAAGCCCTCCTCGCGGCCTCCCTCACCGTCTCTTCACTCGGTCGGGCTCCAGCGGGACGGGGCGCGGCGCTCGCGAGCCGCGCAGCCACCTCCGCCGCCGCCTCCACCTCCTCCGGCGCGCAGGGCCGCCCCAGCCACAATGGCCTCCCGGTGCTCCGCGCAGGCCGCGCCAGGCCTGAGCGCGCTGACGGGCAGCCACTGGGACCAATCGCGAGCCCATACCGCGAAACTCAGCCAACGGTGGTCCGGGGGCGGGACAGACCTGGCGCTATATAAGGCAGGGCAGCGGGGAAGCACTGCAGTGGGAGAGGGGAGGTTGAGCCAATCCGGGCCCGATCGCCGCCCTCCGGCGTGATGTCATCACCGTACGTCAGACTGTCACCGCACTTCTGACGTCACTGGCAGCGGTGGCATCAATTGGGACTGCAGGGTGGGACCGTCTCTCCACCACAGCAAAACAAGGAGAACTTATTCAAATACACCAGTAACTCTTTACCAAATACATGTGCCACGCATGTGTGTTTTTATATGGTGATGTTCTGTTCTTGACTGTTGGAACACAACAGCCCTCGTGGTGGTGTTTTGCACTGTTGTTGCAGCTTTCAGATCATACAAGTGACTAAGAGGGGAAAAAAAAGCCCCAAAACAAGAAGCATCTGTATAATATTTTCTTTAATTGCATATTAATTACATTGTACACACTTCAACCAGAAGTACCTTTTGGAGGATACACTATTTTGGAAGTTCCCTTATTTTGTTGCTCTATACAAGCCAGGCAATAAGAACTGGGGCAGTATACAAAACACTGCTGGGCCTTCTCACAGCATTAGCTTGAAAGTAGGAGGAAGAGCTGAAAACACAGCTGAGAATTTACGGCCACAGGAACTCTTTGCAAAAGGTGGTGAAATACAAACCAGGTGCAAACTGTAGGAGTAGGGGGGCAGGAAACTGGGAGGAAGAGGACAAGCAATTTCCAGTTTGAAGCTGTAGTAGAAAAATCTAAAAAACTGTACACAAACTCCCCATGAGTACTGAGCATGTCGACTCATTACCAATGCTGTAGTTAAGCAATGTACTAAAAAAAATAACTTAAGAAATGCTATACAGTTGTACTTATAAATACTTTATCTTTAAAACTAGTTAAGTAGTGTAGGCTAAAAAAAAAAAAAAAAATGTTCACAGTTACTCTGAAGAGAGCTGTATATATATATATATATTGCACAGTAGAAAAGTTCATTCAGTATACCATGTGTAAACATTGATTTTTATCTTATCCTTTGGCAATTTCGGGACTTAGAAATATTTGCTGTGAGCAAAAGCACTTGGGTAACAAGGCACATCGGGAGCTTTTAAAGCTGCAAGATAAATCCTTCTGCCACTGACCAGTTATCACTCTCATTCCCTTTGAAAAACATGTACCTATTGATTCAGAACAACACATTTCAATAAGCATAACACAGAGGTCTGGTGATAAAAATATCCACTATTCTTGGCTGTTATTCTACAGTAACCGATTTGGCCAAATTCCTTGGGAAATCCACCTAGAACGAAAAGACAGGCTGTCAGTGTGTGACAGAACATAACTGGCATTCTGCATTCGATAGTTCATTTAGTGTGCTGTTCTGTTTGGTGTTTTTTGCTTTTTTAGAAAAGAATTCCTACTGAGTTCTGCTTTATTCTGGACACACTAATGCACACAAGAGACTACAGATCTGCAGATAACTCACTGCTGAATTCATCATTACCTGCAAGAACCTCCTAACAAATCTTAATATATTGTTTTGCACAGGATGCCTTTCCAACAGGGTCATCTTTACCAAACTGACACACCTAGACAGAGTCAACAAACTAAGCTGTACAAAGCAATAAACTCTTCTCTGTTGAAGTGCAATATCACTCTTCAATGCTTAGTTTTCTGACAAATTATTATCTGCATTCTTCACTAATCAAACTAAGCAAACAATCTTTACATTTTTTTAGAACCATCATCCATGCCAATTCAAGAAAAGGCTGAAGAATTGGCAGTGAAATGCCACCTCTACTACCACAGTAAGTACCAGTTGCAGCAACTATTACCATAGTTCTCTGTTAGAAATGCTATGTAACCTTGCCTCTTCCTTAACATTGGTAGGAGGAAGTGCAAAACTGCTCCAACTGGAATGCTATACATAGAAAGCACTTACATCATATCCTCTGAGAACAGCCAGGTGGAATGAAAGCAACTGGAGAGGAATAACACTCAAGATTCCTTGAAGGCAGTCAACTGTGTGAGGCAGCTCAATGGTTTTGTAGGCAAATTTTGAGCTTTCTGTGTCTTCCTTAGAACACAGGATGATTGGACGACCCTGAAAGTAAAGTTCTACAGTTAAGAGCTGCTTTGAAATATTAGTTCACAGCATATCTGTACTATGTTTGAAAAAATAACAAGGATAGCTAACCAAGAAAATGTTATTCCTGCACAATGGGTTCTGTCACTCACTGAAAACATTCAAGTCTCATGCAACAATCATTAGAGTTTTAACATTATTCTCTTTGATTCAAGATCAAGAAACATCTACATACAATCACTTACCATTACTGGTGTTAAACTGCAAGCTGCAATGAAGCTATAGCACCTTATTTATAACTTTTTAAGTAGAAAAAAAATACCCTCACCAAATCCTGCCTCTGAAATGTATTTGGCAACAATCCAGCGTGCACAATTTCTTTCCCTACAACACTGCATTACTTTACAGCTTACCTGTCGAGCTGTGACCTGTTGCAGAGCATTCTGGCACTTGGTGAAGCAAGGATCCTTCATTATGACCATGATAACAGGCATCTGTTTATCTATTAGGGCTAGCGGACCATGTTTAAGCTCACCAGCCAGGATACCTTCAGAGTGCATATAGGTGATTTCTTTTATTTTCTAACAAAACAAATGCAAATACCAGAAAGTTAGAAGTAAATTAGATTAGAAATAAAAGCTGCAAGAAGCAAAACATCCATCAATTAAATGCAATTGCTCTTTTCAAAAATCAGTTAATGGCTAGAACAGACATTCCCATACACTGGGATTTCCAGCAGGCTGCTGGTGGAAATGGAGCTTGCTCATGCACATGCATTTGCAGAGAATGAAATGGAGTGATCAACAGGAATTTTTAAGAGCTTAACATCTAGCACCACATTTCTAACTTCTATGAGAGATGGACATAGCTCCATTACATGAGGGTATCTGTAATTAATTTAGCAGTTCCCTGCATGAACATCTTGCCTGAACACCAGTATATTGAACAGTGTTTTATGAGGATATTTTCAAACAACCAGCATTTTAAGTGGTATTAAGTTGTAGGGTTTTTTTCATTTTCTTTTTTTAAATACACTCCTTAAGCGTATTTAAGAATGACACCAAATTCACCTTATGTGTGTGTTCAGTCCAACAGGATTAATCGTTCTAATTACACATGGCAGCAGTTTTATAGCAGCAGAATTAAACTGTAAATAGATATGAGAAAAAGTGCTGCAGAAACAAAAGCTCATTTCAAGTAGTATCCAATGACTTTGAGAGATTCCTACCAGAGCTCCTTCCAGACAAGTGGCATAATTATATCCACGACCCATAACCAGCAGTGACCTTTGTTTGTACAGCTCAAGAGCCAAGTCATGTATCTTCTCATCCAAGGACAAGACTTCTTTAATCATCTCTATTGGATCACATAAAAAGCACATATAAATTCTCCATCAACTGGAAAAAAAAATAGTATTTCCTAGCTTTTTGTAGTATGATTCTCTAATGATATTTTTGTAACAAATATGCTTAACATAATTCAGGTGTTAACTTCCTATATCTGCAACTTTGATAGAGCTTTAAACGTGCTTTGTCTGATCTTATGTACAGTAACAAATTTAAGATGACTATTAGTTTAAGCAGAGTCGATGTATCCCATCTGAAATACTAAAGGAAGTTCTGAACATCTGTTTTAAAGTCAGTTTGGATTAGTTTTGTTTCCCCTATACTGGTTTAAAGTGAAAGGCATTACAAATTTTAGATTATCTATAGGAGATCAAGGAATAATTCTCAAAGCTATCCTACTGTAATTCTAATCTTTCTGCCAAGTTTTCTGGAAGTATATTTGTAAAACTGGCAATTGGTGTAGTAGCCTATTTTTCGTATGTTATCTACCTTTCAGGGAGAAAGGAAAAGAGCAACTTAAATATTTTTCAAAGGTTTTTTACATTTCTGTATTATCCATTAAACAAAATCTCCTCAAACCCAAAATAAATATCAATATACCTGGCAATGATTTTAGTCCACTAATGATTTCCCTTCTCCTTTTCTGCAGAGAAATTCGGTCTTCAGACATCATGAGGCCAAACATTACAAGAGACACAAACTGGCTGGTATAAGCCTGCAGACAAAACAGAGCATTTAGCAGCCAAGCTTAAGTGAGTTACTATGATCTCAATCTGAAGTGCTATGATTAAAACTATAATTGGATTACACAGTGGTAAAGTGTAAAAATTGAACACCAAACAGCTCCTACCTTTGTGCTTGCCACACCTATCTCAGGTCCAGCATTGATATGTACACCACAGTCAGTCTCTCTGGATATTGAGCTTCCCACGGTGTTTGTGATGCCAACTGTTAGAGCACGGCGTTCTTTGCAATACCTCAAAGCCATAAGGGTATCTGCAGTTTCACCTGGAAAGCATTCAC